GTTTATAGTCTAAAATAATTTTGAAAACCTCAGCCGGTTGTTAAAAATTATATAAATATATAGAGCGATCTAGATAGCCACTATTAGAAGACAAAAAACACATATGTGTGTGAAAAAAATAATTCTTGAAAAATAAACCAAAAATACACCGTAGATGTTAGTAGTAGACAACATGACCAATTCCAAAATTTTCAGCACATAAAATTTAGAATAAAAAAGCATGCAACTGAGGTAATGAAAAACTAACTATTTCAAAACAGCAAGGACAAAGTTCAAAAACTCCATAATTTTTTGGATATGACATTAAAAGCAATCTTACATGACTTAAAACAAAAACGATCCATGAAATTTCTTTTCTTTTCTTGATGACTGGAAATTCCCTAAAGCTTAGAACTTCTTTGATTGGGGTAAAAATGAACATACAACTTGCAGTGAGCTAGCTCAATATACACATTAAAGCCTATAACAATTTACACGACACATTCGACATACTCACAATTTAGAGCTAAATCAGGATAAGTGATTAGAGCTGGTTTGTCCTGGTCTCCAATCACAGTGACAGAAACAGCACCAGAACAAGTTTTCACAAGATACTCCTGCCAAAAAAAGATAAAAAAATATAAATTTTTACACGTAATTATCTGAAGTAGAGTGAAGAAAAGAATGCAATAGCTATTGGTGTGTATGCATTCAAAATGAAATATTTTGGTAAAGAATGACAGCAAACGCCTTCAAAAATGAGAATTGAAGTACCTAAAAAAGCCGGCAAGTATTAGAACCATATATGAACTACCTTAAAAGGGGGATTACAAAAGCTTATCGCAAACAACATATAGATTAAACGAGAAAAACATATCGGGTAGTTGCTTCCCATAAAGAAACTTTGCCTAATTGAATTCAAAATGCATTTCTAAACAAGTAAATAGTAACCTCCATCCAATTCTGGTATGAACACCATAATGAAAACTCCCAGCCGCAAGGATTCCAAAGACCATTGAATTTAGAAAACAAAGCAAGCAACACCATGAAATAAAAATCGAATGTAGCCATTAACTTGACACGATCGTTACTTTAACGAATTCATACAAAACATCAAGAATCCATGTTTCAAGATCTTCCTTCCTCATCTCCCACCCAAACAAATATTTCTCAGCAAGCAAACAAAGAACGATGTTCAAATCCATCTAATCAAATCATTAAACACACATTCGTAAAAGAGACACGAAATGCAGATACCTTTCCACCAGAAGAAATCGACTCCATATCCACCGACATTGAGTCACTCGAATCCCCCATTTCCCCCTCACACTCTCTCAATCTCTCTCTAATCCTTCTTCCCCACTCAATACTCAGAACACTTCTTCTTCTAGCTTTTATACACCACCAAATCTCTTCAACAAATTCTTCCCAGCACTATTTCAACTCGTCGTATCGAATCGTCCGAGTCTAAACGAGTCACCGACGCCGCGTTCCCCTTCATCGCACATCGACAGAAACCTCACGAGCGCCCTGTAACGAACACCCTCAAGCCCAATCCCATGGTTAGTTTAACCATAGTTAGGAGACCGACAGTTCAGTCTAAATGACTAAAATACCCACAGTTTCCTTTGACAACGACCTCCTCTATTACCACACGGAGAGGGCGGTTTCCGTCTCTTCACGTTGATTTTTCTTTTTTATCTTTTAAAAATTATTAATAATAAAGATTGAAATGGTAAGTAGTTAAGCTTTGACTTAGAAGGAAAAAAAAGGTCGAATATTTTATGGTGGGCCCCAGATTTTGTATATTCGTTTTAATTAAAGTAACGCAATCATTATATAATAAAGTATAAAATCGTGACAAAATTAGGAAAATAATTATTTAATGAAAATTCCTTTTATAATATGGTAAATGTATTTTGTTATTTATTGCATTGCCTAAAACCAGGGTGTATTTAATTAAATAATTTTAAATTAAAATAATGTGCAAAAATACAGTTAAGAGTTTTTTTTAATAATATAGTTTCCCAATGAAAGTTAGTTATTTAATACCATTGCTTCCTTGCCAAATGGATTTTTATAATTTTATTGAATAATTAATTGTGATCTTTTTTTTAATAAATTTTTTCATAATAATAAAAAAAAATGCTCAAAATGGAATTTATTGGATTATTTTTTTCTTTCATAAATTTTAATTAGATAGTGCATTCTAAGTAATTTTATATTTTAGGTAAGTTAAATTAATAAAAATATCTATTAATATATTCTAATCTTTTAAAGTATCATTAATATTTTTTAAATTTTTAATTTTTTTTTTAAATATCTTCCCAATTTGGAAGCTATTACCAGTTTATTTAAGTTTTAAGGATATTAATAATATTTTAAAATTTTATTATTATTATTATTTAAATACGTGGAAGTTGAGGTTTATTTTTAGTATATATAATAATAACCTTTTTTTTTCTATTTAATTAAACTTTTGAGATAATTTTATCCTCATATTATACGTTATTTTTCTTATCTTCTCCTCTCTTTATGCTTTATTTTGTTTTGTATTTCACCCACGCGAAAATGATATGATATATAGTTTAGAATAAAACACGTGAAGTAATTTCATTCGTTTTTTTTTACCGGTCCTTTCCTTTATTAAGGTTAAAAGTTACATCACTCTCGAGTTACGACATTCAAGTACAAATCTAGTCCAGTGACTCATTTAAAGTTCCCGACATCGGAGTACAAGTCTAGTCTAGTAACCCATTCAAAGTAATTAACTATTTTTAACCGTGAATAAAATTAAATATAATAAACTTCAACTTTCTAAGTAATAAAACGAACTAAAACTATAAGTTAAAATATAACATCATGCTAAATCTCTCCTTAAAATTCGACAAAACGATGAACGTCGAAGACAGGTCGACAAAAGAATATCATATTCGATCAAGAGAAACCATTTTAACTAATCACAATAAACATACTAATTTAAACGGGATCTTCTTAAAACTTCTTAAAATTTAAAGATATTTTTTTATAATTTAGCGTTACCAAAGACTTTGTGTCCTACTGAGATCTCAAATCCACTCTCTCTTACTTTGAACGTGACGCCTCACATTACAAATTTATAGCTGAATTTAAAGGGAAATGAGTTGATTGAGCTAGACTTTACGTGTATTGAGTGACGAGAAGACGCATAATTCAGTCTACCCAACCAATTTGGCAAAGTTTGGGCAATAAGTAAGAGAATTATTTTGAGAATTGATTACATATGGCCAACAATCTGACATCCCAAACAACTCGATCTAAATCATAAATGTTGGATTGGACTAGATTTTTTTCGGTTTAAGCTCGGTTGAACTGAGTCGACATTTTTTTGGTCGGGAAATTAAAAAAATAGTGTTACAAACCAGTTCAACCCTATCCTATTTTTAAAAAATTTAAGAATATTTAACATTTGTTTACGCTGTGACTATAAAAATGTTGTGATATTTGAAATTACTGGATTTTAGTCATTGATTTAACATGTATGGTACATAAATACGGTTTTTTTAATAATTAAAAAAAATAATCGGACAACTCAAACTAACCCACTTCTTTATTTTTGGATTGTGTCAGGTTAGGTTGGGTTGTAAGCTCTCTCTCTCTGAATTGCTTTGATCCAAAAGATTTTTCCAACTCAACTCGTGTAATCTTTTAAATAAAAAATTATAATGGAAATCTAATAAATAAATAAAAAAACGATTGAATATTAGGTTTTGGGAAGAGTTATATCAATTAAAACTCTAAATTAATAATTGATTTTTTAATTATTAACATAATTTTATTAATTTTATTTTAATAAGTTAAAAACATTAAAGGTTTTAGTAAATTAGTGAAGGTTGGTTTAATTTTAATTAATTTAAAGTAATGAAAAATAATTATTTAATTATAAAGTTAGGTGTTATTATTTTGGAATTTAATTCGACATGTCGCTCTTCCTTAAACTAGAAACTAGGTTAAAAGCAACAGCTGAATTGAACTCAACCGCTAACAGTTCCAACCCAATGGCAAAATTCCTTTCAACGGTCTCGTTTTTCAAACTTTTTACTCATTTTAATTTCAGGATAATTATCACCAAAAATAAAATTAATTTTTTTACCCATCAATCTCCAAAAGAGACATTTTGGTGTTTTTTTTTATATAAATTAATTTCGGACCAATTATAAATTGACACGTGTCATTAATCGAAATTGACCAATGCGGCCGTGTATCTTCACCATAGTCAAATAAGCTTAAGATGAATTCATACCAAATATCGAGCCAACTTTAAAAGCCGAAGAACTTGAAGAAATTGCGAGCTTAAAGCTGGATGCTTAAATTTAAAGTAGAAGATCCAATCTCGAGATCGTTGTAGTTAGTCGAGTTCTTATTAGAGAAACTTTTATTTCGAGGAAGAATTAAAAAAATTTCTAAGATATACACGAGCGAAGACAAACCATGCTAAAAGAGCTCGTGTTGGTTTATGAATATGGTTTTCACTCTAACGAGGAGTAGATAATGTGACAATGTTGCAGGGGGTGCACGGGAATGCCGAGACATGCAACGTATAAGTAATTTTGTTTATTTATTTATATTAAATTATAAAGAATATTCTAAATTATGACGCTAAAGCAATAATTATATTCTTTTAAAAGTTGAATTTTATATTTGACTTTTTCAAAATAGATATTTTCAATTTAAATATTTATTTGAACCTTTTATTTTATTTTCAATTAAATTTATCCTTTAGAAAATAAATTTTTATCACTAATTATAAATCATCTAAGATTTAAAAATACAAAATAAGTTATATCTATAAACATAATTTTTTAAAATTAAGTTTGTTTTTATTTGATGTATTTGAATTTTTAACCATATTTTAAATTAAAAAATAAAATTCTAATAATAATTTTTTTTTAGTTTTCAAAATTTTAAAAAATACATAACATTTTGTGAACCGAGTGACGTGTGCTATAAATACCGTTGGCTAAAGTGCACTAAAAAGAAAACCCATCCTCTTTATTACCACTCGTTTTCTCTTTCTAGGGTTTTCTCTCTGAAGCTAAACAATGGCTGACGAAGCGCAGTATTCATCTGGTACCGATGCTGCGTCCAATAAGCGGAAGTACGATGACCATCCTCCACCTATGGTTTCCCGCCGGCCGACTGGTTTTTCCGGCCCCATCACTTCCCCCTCCTCCGATTCGGCCAATCCTGCGCCTCCCTCCTACAACAACGTCCCGCCTCCTATGGATGAGATCCAGCTTGCTAAGCAGCGTGCTCAGGAAATTGCCTCTCGGTTGATTATCTCCAGCGGTGGCGTGGGGGCCGGCGCTGGACCTGGCGTTGGGGCTGATGCCAAGCGCCCAAGGGTTGAGAATGGCGGCGGGTTTGATTCATACGAAAAGGGTTTTAGTTCTGGCTCAGGTGACTCATCTTGCTGTCTCTTTCTTGCATCTTTCATGTTTCTGTATGCATGTCCAACATGTATTGCCTTATTTTTAAATTTTTTATTATAGTGAAGTAGTTTGCACTTTTTATTGCATTTTCGTGGCACATCGCTTTGAGCTATGTTTTAAATCTCAGTATTAACGGGACATGGGTGATTAAACGTTTCAGGATGTCAGTATTAGTGGTATAGAGAAAGCTTTCTGTCAGTTCTATAGATACCTATAGATGTCATATAGTTGATTTATTTTCCACTGTCTTTACCCATGTTTCGATCAGAATTGTTGTTGAATGCTTTTATTTATCTATTTTTTTAATGTATTTTAAAAATAAGTATTGTTTGTATGATTGGATGCCTATTTGTGACATTCATCTGCGTGGATGCAGACTTAAAGTCTCACATGTCTAATTCAGCTCCTTCAGCAACACCTGTTTCCTATGGGTTTCAAGGGACAAGCAAAAAAATCGACATTCCAAATGGTAGAGTGGGTGTAATTATTGGTAAAGGTGGTGAGACCATCAAGTACCTTCAGCTCCAGTCTGGGGCAAAAATACAAGTTACTCGTGACATGGATGCAGATCCCAATTCTGCTACCCGGACGGTTGATCTAATGGGTACTCCTGATCAAATTGCTAAGGCCGAGCAGTTGATTAATGATGTTCTTTCCGAGGTTTGTTTTAGTTTTCAAACTGCATATGTACTCCTGATCAAATTGCTTTGTCAACTACTGTGTGTTGTCTCACCACTTAAAAACATTGACATGCCGTGTACCAATGGATTTGTTTGGAAAGGCCTTACCAATTTTTCCACTGCCAACATAATATTATTGGCAATATTTTCTTTATAAATTGCATACAAAATCTGATTGAATTGACGTTATTGGAAGGGTAAGGCATTTAACTTGGCTTGAAAATGCGTTTGTCTAATAAATTTAACATTTGATTCAGGCTGAATCTGGAGGTTCTGGCATAGTATCTCAAAGATTGACTGGTTCATCGGGATCTGAGCAGTTTGTTATGAAAATTCCCAATAATAAGGTTCTTTAAATATTTTTTTTGGAATTTCCCAAGTTCTGTCATCTACTTTGAGAACATTTTTAAAATTTATTTATTTATTTATTGGTGATACTTATGATTGTTATGATTTTAATTTTCTAGGTTGGCTTGGTTATTGGTAAAGGTGGTGAAACAATCAAAAGTATGCAAGCCAGGACTGGAGCTCGTATTCAGGTTTGTTTACATATATGTATATACGTTTTTCGTGTGTCTTGGAAGTCCTCCCCTTTCCTACCATTTTTTTTAATTTCAATTTTGTAACTTGTTTTCACTTTTTGTTTTTGTAACATTAATTATTGTATTTAATTTGGATAACATGGGATCTTGTATTCTTCATTTTCACAGGTGATACCTTTGCACTTACCCCCTGGGGATACATCTACAGAAAGAACCTTACAGATTGATGGTTCAAGCGAACAGATTGAGTCAGCAAAACAGTTGGTTAATGAAGTTACCAGTGAGGTGCGTTTGCAGATTTTGGTTCCATTAAGATTGTTATGCCCTTTTGTAGTAGGAACTAATGCATAGTTGAAATCTAATTCCATGGATTTTTGTGTGAACTTTTTATTTTTGAGGTGCTTGTAATGATTTTTCCTGATTGGACTTGGTCATTTTTGTAATTGTTGATGCAAGGTTGCCATACTATTCTAGAACTCCTTAAACTCTTTCTATGAACTCTTTTAATATTTAGTGTTCTACCTCAACACCAAGGCGAGCATTAAGGACTCAGTGTTGATGGACGTTGAATTGGTTTGTTGCTTTTACATGTTTATTCAGCTTCTTACTGTGATATCGCTGGGATTTGGTATTCATTGACTTCATATGGATTACACTGTTTTGTGAAGATTATGAAATGTTCTGTTTTCTGATTGTGTTCCTTATTGTAAATTGAAATGTTCTCTTTTTAAGACACATTCTTGTTACAGTCACGTTTTTTATTTGTTATAATTTTGTACACTAATCATTCTTCAATTCAATGCTTCTGTTTTTCTTTCTGGAAGGAAATAGTTGATACGTTTTTTTTTCTCTCATTGTCTCTATGTTGTCTTGTTGGATAGCTGGAGTCAACAAGAATTTGGTTTCTTTGTCGTTCGTTAAAAATACTTCTTTTCCCTTCTAAAGTTTACCCTGCTTAATGAACTGGAGCTTCTATGAAATTTGTCAAACACTGTTATATACTTAGCATTTGGATTTATTGTTCATTTGACTATAATGAATATGTTTCTGTGTTGCAAATCTGAAAAATCATTTTATTGCCGATGCTGTTACTATGCCTAGCAGTTTTACTATTTTAATTGTCTTAAACAGTAACTATTGAAGAGCTGTAAGGAGGTTTGTTCCCTCACTATGCTTACTTCAACTTTGGGGTGAGTTCTGTTTGGATTGTATGTCGACCGTATCAATGCTGGTTTGTAGTTACACTCAAGGAATTAGAAGCAGTGGAAACAAACCTGTTATTAATTTTGGATCTCTTATAGCTTGAGATAGCTTTTAGGTCTTTTATCCATTGTTTATTCTACATATCCATTGATGCAGATATGGAGGATCTAAGGTTCCTGGGGTTTGGAAATAGGTGAAGTTATTTTTACAGATGGAACACCTAGTTAGTTTTTGAAGAGTGACTGGTACTTGAAGGGTTCCCATTGGTGATATGCTTGCTCCGTTGGATATTCAGTTTATCTGTCAATATTACTCTTATTAGGTTGTTAAGGTTATATGATATCTCTCCTATTTAAGATGTCTGCAGCCCGTTCGGTATTATTCTTGGTTTTATATCTTGATTGTGGTATCTGAAAGGTTCCCATTGGTGATATGCTGGCTCCTTTGGATATTCAGTTTATCAGTCAATATTACTCTTATTAGGTTGTTAAGGTTATATGATATCTCTCCTATTTAAGATGTCTGCAGCCCGTTCGGTATTATTCTTGGTTTTATATCTTGATTGTGGTATCTGAAAGGTTCCCATTGGTGATATGCTGGCTCCTTTGGATATTCAGTTTATCAGTCAATATTGGTATCTGAAAGGTTCCCATTGGTGATATGCTGGCTCCTTTGGATATTCAGTTTATCAGTCAATATTACTCTTATTAGGTTGTTAAGGTTATATGATATCTCTCCTATTTAAGATGTCTGCAGCCCATTTGGTATTATTCTTGGTTTTATATCCTGATTGTGGTATCCGAAAGGTTCCCATTGGTGATATGCTGGCTCCTTTGGATATTCAGTTTATCAGTCAATATTACACTTATTAGATTGTTAGGGTTATATGATATCTCTCCTATATTTAAGATCTCTGCAGCCCATTTGGTATTATTCTTGGTTTTATATCGAAGTGTTAATATTGTTTGGATTATGGCCTGTTCAACCGTCACATGTGCTTATTAATTGTGTATCCTGCAACTGATATTATTATTGGGAACTATTGTAGGGTTAGGGTAATTGGACCATTAGTGCACCAACATGGAATCCTTTATGTTGGTGTTATCTCAACATTGCTCTGGTATGGTTCTGAATCCCATATTCTAATGATATAAAGTGATAAATGTGGAGAGAAATTACAGGTTTGCTTGTTGGTTATTCAAGGTCGTTAGTATAATTTAAAAAGTCAACTTACCATACTAACATTCTTTTTCTAGTGGTTTAATTCAATATAGGAGGATTTCAATCTTTTAGTCTGTCTAGATTTTCTCTCGTAATTTTCTTATTTGCTCTGTAATTCTAGGCACGTGTGTTAGTTTGCTGTATTAACTTGCTCATGATTTCTTGTTGGTACTTTTATGTTTTAGTTTAACATCACCTGATTGTTCATTGAGTTTTTTAAATTGATGGATATGCTTGAGCAAGTTTTTTAGACTGCAGCCTTGGTTTGCTGGCTATTACTGAAGAATAGTCTCTTATTTTTAATCTTCATTAATCATTTACCTCTGGAAGGGCGTCAAATCAAATTATTAATTATTTTAAAATTTTTGACGTAAATTGTCCTGAACTATCTTGTTATTGAAAAATATTTTCTTATTTTAATCTTTATGGGCTATTTTTATTTACTTATCATGAGGTTATGCTTCATTTTCCTTCCAAGGCCGTTGCATATACTATCAATGTGTTTCTTCTCATCATCCATGTATCTCAGCCCTTTTCGAAAGTATTTTTCTTTTTCAATTATTTTGTGGTAAAAAACTGTGGGCGGTAGACATTTTTTCTCTTCACTATCTTCTACTAGTCTCTGGAGATTTGCTAGTCTATAGGGTTGTTTAGTTTTAGTTTGATATCCAGCTAGTTGATTCTTCTATAAAAAAATTGATTATTGGGAAGACATTGCTTTTTGTGCTTTGCTATGAACTTGTTTGCCTTTTGGGGCAATTAAGTTCATATATTCTGTTCTGTAAAAGCTTTTGTAGTCGTCTGGTTCTCTTTGCACCCATTCACTTCGAATAGGGAGAGGTTGAGCTTCTGCTGGAGTAACTCAATAACTCATCATCCAGTACGGTATGTTGGTGCTTTGTACTCTTCATAATGCAGTATAAGCTCCTTTAATCCCTACAAAATATACTGACTATGGCTTTTCATATATGGGATTTCGGATTTGACATTTTTCTTCCCATTTCGCATATGAATGTTGCGTTCCTATTCTTACCGGGCATGGTTATTGTTCTCTCACATATTGTAGAGAAAGATTCACCTTGGTTTCTATCTTCATGTTTTTCTTTCAGAATCGTGTGAGAAATTCAGGTATGTCAGGAGGGTATCAAACTCGACCCCCTTCAAGTTGGGGGCCTCCTGGGGCTCCTCCAATGCAGCAACCTGGTTATGGCTATGGACAGCAAGGTGGATACTCTGGCCCTTCATCTCAGTATAACATGCAACAACCTCCTTATCAAGGTTATTCACAACCTGCATCTGGTGGATATGCTTCCAATTGGGACCAGTCTACTGTTCCACCAAATCAACCTGCTACTCAGGGAAGTGGTTATGATTACTACAATCAACAGCCCCCGCAGCAACAGCAGACTCCTGGAGCTCCTCATGGTGCTACAGGAGACAACTCTGGTTACAGTTATGGTCAACCACAGGCCTCTACCTACAATCAACAGGGTTATTCTCAAGATGGCTATGGTGGTGGTTATCATGCACCTCAGGCTGGTTACAGCCAGCCACCTACGTATGATCAGCAAGGCTATAGTTCTGCTCCAAACTATGGTAACGTGGCCAATGCAGCCCAAGATGGGATCAATTCATACGAGTCTCAGGGGGATTCATCACAGACAGTCCCTCCTGCACAACCCTCTTCGGTGAGCCAGCAAGGTTATGGTGTAAATCAACAGCCTAGTCCTAACCCAGGGAGCTACCCTCCACCAAATCAGTCAGGGTACGGAATGACTGCACCTTCTCATACTGGTTATGGAAATCAACCAGCCGCTCAAACCGGGTATGGGGCTAGTTATGGACCTCCTCAAACTCAGAAACAACCTGCAAATCCTCCTGCATATGGTCAGAGCACTCAGTCGCCAAGCACCCCGAGTGGCTATGGGCAACCTGCTGCATTGTCGTCTGGGTATTCCAGTTCTCAGGCTCCCACGTCTGGGTACACTCAATCAGATTCCGGTTCTCAACGTGTCCCACCATCCAGTTATGGTACTGCAGCTCAGCCAGGGTTTGCGCCACCTTATGGTGTTCCTCCAACAAATCAGCCAGGTTACGGGCAAGCTCCACCACCTTATAGCTCTTCTTATGGTGCTGGTTACCCTCAGCCTCCATACTCTTCCGATGGTAACGCAGGTGGAGCTGCTGCTCAATCGGCGCTGCAAAGTGGGGTTGCAAAAGCATCACCAAAGAGTTGATTCATGTATGTGTCACTATAGGTGTCTGTTGCGGAGAACAGTTAACTTCGTTGCTATGATTAGTTTTTTTTAGGCCAGGTAGAATTATGAAACCTCGTTAATGTCTGAATTCTTTACTGTATTCGGTTTCGGTTTTGATACGGTTAAAACGTTTATGGTGCTTTGCTATCCTCCCTTTGGCTTGTCCGTTTCTCTCTAGCGTGTTGCCATTGTGTCAACCATGGTTACCGGCTACTTTAAATACAACTACTTTGTGGAGCTAAAATATGAAATGTGAATCATGAGCAAGAAAACGTAATTCCTCCTTTATTTTCATCTTGTAATTGTATTTGTGTCTGAATCCATCGGTGTTTGCCCTAATACAAAATTAGTAAAAAACGTAATACCTATGATCGCAATGCTGACATTTTTTGCCTTTTATCTTAGAGTAAATTTAAAACAATCCCCTCCTCTATCCAATTTGCATGCAACACTGACCTATTCTACCTATGTCTCGAATCGTTGTATCGTCAAATGAAATTATTCCTAAACGCTAGAAACGCTTTGGGTGAAAGTAACAAGATGAATGCAAGGATCGAACCAAATAACAATCTGATAGGATCAAATCGGAAAGAACCATGATTATTTGTATCTGCGGAGCTTGCGTGGGGTGACAATGCCGTAGCAGATGGAAGGGCTTCGACTACTGCATCAGCCAGATCCACAATGAATGAAGACTTGCAGTTGAGAGCGGGCACACGCCCCCAGTTTTCGATCCCGGATTCAAGTGCCAAGTGCTTATACTCCATATCTATCTCCTCAAGAGTCTCGATGTGCTCACTCACAAAGCTAGGAAAAAACATGTAAACTTACTATAAAAAAATGCCACAAGCTTAAGTTAACAAAGAATACATAAAAACAATGTACGAAAATGAGAAAGATCGAATTTCACCGAGTATTTTATTTTACTTGTTACATGATTTAGTCACACCAATATTCACTCTATAGGTCCCTAGAACATGAGTTGCATGTGTTTGTGAACAGAACATACCTCACGGGAACGGCTAGAAGGCTCTTGATACCCTTCTGGCCAAGCTCAACAAGAACTTCATCAGTGTATGGCTTTAGCCATTGTACAGGTCCAACGCGGCTCTGAACATGTAATTCATAGACAAAAATGAAAAATCCAGAAAACAAGAAAAAGATAAGAAACCAAGCCAAGCTCCAAATTCATTACTAACCTGATAGGCAAGAGTATGCTCATTTCCAACCCCTCTGGCCTTCAACTCTTGCATGATTAGATAGATGCACTCCTCCATTTCATCTTTGTAAGGATCTCCAGCATTCTCAACATAACTGACGGGAACCCCATGTGCACTAAAGAAAATCATGACCTAAGGATGCAAATGTCCCCTCATTAAGAACTAATCGACTTGGACAATGACAACCATTTGCTGCATAAACTAAATCATCTCTCTAAAATCAGTTTCAGCAAAAATCAAATACCTCCTGAGGATTAACAAAATTCTTCAGCTCTGCCTGAATCAAGTCAGCCATCGACTTAATATACCCTTCTCGTTGATACCACGACTTTATAATCGAAACAGGCAATGTCGAGAGATATGCATCTTCCCTGATAGGCTCATAGTCAATAAGTCAGTAGCAGAAGCTTTTAATAACAAGATCAACAGTGGACTAGATCATCACCTGAAAATCTTCTGGAGAACACGAATACTGGACCCGGTTGTCGAAATAGAGTACTGTGGATACAGTGGCAGCACCACAAGTTTTGTTATCCCATCCCTCTTAATCTGCCACAAACAGCAAAAGGTACCATCAAGTTTTAACTTAAATGCAGTGACAATTAAGAAAGATAATACACGTGGTCAGTATCGAACTAGAAGGCACAGGGAATAAAAAGAACATGTAAACGTACTTGCTGAATCGCTTCCTCTGTGAAAGGGTACCAATAGCGCATTCCGACATAGACATTAGCAGATATGTTTTTCTCTTCCAAAGCCATTTTAAGCGCCTGTGCCTAGAACAAGGATTCACAAATTATAAATATTTGAATGTTTTTTTTTACAGTGGAGGGAAGTAATAGAGAGGTCAATCAACCTGCTCATCTGTTATTTTACGCAAAGGTGAGCCACCACCAATTGAAGCATACCCTTCTTTGCTTTTCAGAGCACGAAAAGTAGAAATTAACTTTGCCAATGGCTCTTGGAGAAAACGGAACAACCTCGGGAGCCGAATAATATCCTATGTATCATGAAAAGAAGTAAGAACTGATATAAATTGGCATGTTATTCAGGCTAGAAACACAAGATTAACTAAGATACCGGATCAGCAAATAGGTTGTACAAAAATGGCTGAACATCATCAAGCGTTTCTGGCCCTCCTAGATTCAGGAGCAGAACTCCAACCTTCTCTTCTACTGCCTGAGAGTGAGATTCTAAAGCAAATTCACCATAGGAGACAGTTCCTACTGAGCAAAATGCTTGTCCAAGACGGCCTCTCTTCTCAACAGGGCCAGAAAGTTGTAGCCCCTGACCATTGGAGCTAGAACAAGAAACCACTAATCCTTGAGTTCTAGACTTATCACGAACTTGCAATTTTCCAGAGGACTTGCAAGAGAAAGACACATGAGATTTCGGCACAGAGAATGACCTGAAAAACCAAAAAGCATACGTTGAATTCTTAACTTTGATATAATAATACCTAAAAACTTCTTCAAGAATCTACGCCATTGCGCTGCCATCTTCCACATAATAGGCAAAAAAGTTCACTACGATCAACTCTGTTATTATAATCCAGACAACTTCAAGCCGCACAAACATTGCATCACAGTAGTAATTTCATCAAACAATCAGTATAAAGTTCACATGGATCAAAATTATCACAAAATTCTAGATTCCAAATTAAGAACAAAAGACAACTCAAGAATCCGATCATCAATCTCAAACACAAGCGAAATCTTTAGGGCAGCAGAAGCGATGGATTAAAGAACTTACGTCGAAACCGTGCGATCCGGATTAAGGGTGTTGGAATCGAGAAGCTTCATATTGGAATGAGCGGCAGAGAAAGCGATCGCGTCCATGAAGTCAAAAATTGGAAATACAGTGATCCAAAATCGAAGTCCACGAAAACCCCAGAAAAATTTGAGCAGTGTTGAACGAAGAAATGAGTGAGTTAGCGACGATCCTGATTATAAATATTTTTTGAAACGAAAAGGATGAATTGGATGGATGCAGAGTCAAAATTGGGGGACGGGAAGATCCGGGAAAGCGTTGATTTGTTGCGAAGTTGCCAGTTTCATTTTGAATTTGAACTTGGGGTTGAAGAGTCTACGCATCCACGCATCGCCCACGTCCCTGCTCTGAAACTTCCTCATTGTTCTTACTATTAATTGGGCTCAATTGGGCTTAATTGGGCTTAATTGGGCCAAGCTACTTTTTTTTAAATACAAAATAATGCACTTAAAAAGAAAAATAACCTAACAATTATTAAAATAATTTTAACCCTTTAAATCTTAATAATTATACTTAAATAAATAACTTTCCTAAAATTATATAAAATTTTAATCGTAACTTACCAGTAAAAAAAAAATTAAATATTGTATAGGTAATAGGTAGATTCAATCATATTAAATGAAATAAATATATTATAAAATTATATAAAAAATATATAGTTTTAAAAAATAAACATAAATAATTGTTTTTTTTTTTAAATCATATTTAAAAAACTAAACCAAAAAAAAAAAAAAAAAGTATTACACATGTATCACATGACACGTATACGAGCTCACTTGGGGTCTATGTGCATGCACGTGTATATAGGAGTATTACACATCCAATTCTACCCGTATTGAAAGTTGAGCCTAATACCTTGATATGATATGATATTTTATGCACGGATGATGACGTCATAGTAATGCCCATGAGAATCAAGGCAGGATAGATGCATTAGCCCTTAACATATATGTAGTAGCGACTTTGTTAGAATAGAAAAACAAGATCGTTACAAAAGTAGCCTACAACGCTACAGCGAGTACACGCTATTTTAGCATAAGCATCATGAGCATGCTTGAAGCAGTATAGAAGTGTACATATTGAGTCTTTCGAGTAAATATTGTAACCAAGTTTCTCGTACCCAACCTTTGTTAATGTGAGATAATTTTCTTTGATATCGACAAATTACACGAACTCTTCTCTTTTACCTTCTTTCATGCAAATAATAGACCAAATTCATTGTAAACCGAGAAAAAGAAAAGAAAAGAAAAGAAAAACGTGTTATTCCACAAAGCATCCTTACCTTGTCTGGTACTCTAATGCGATTGAACTATAGAAACTATCCAATATTCTTAAAATGCTCAAGTTATATGTTACTCTTACATTTCAAGTAAACAGATGACGGCTGCGTTTGTTAAAGACTATGAAACTTATTTTGATCCTTTAAATTAGATTAGGGTAACATTTTATTCTTTTCTTTGTATTTATTTCAAGTTTAGGTTACTTATTTTCCGTGTTTTGTTTTAAGATTTTATTGGGAACGTTTAATCCTATAACATCGTTTTATGAAATATTTTAATAAATGAATGTTTTCGTACTTATCAGTCATGTCATGCAAGTAGTAGCAACTTTATAGTAGTAGGAAAGAGGGTCGTCGTTACACTTGAGATTAGAGCTCTAGATTATAAATCCTGTCTGACTAAACTACGAGATAGGCTTAACATGTTTCATGGTCCTACCGGCTTAACATGTTTCATGATCCTACCTCCAACGGCTAATGCTCTATCGCAGCATAAGATAATAAAAGAGGTATGTTATTATTGACTGAGCTATGCACGACATGTTTTTGGCTATAAATTGATTCACCTACCTCATTTGTAATTTAGGGTTTAGCTAGGGGGAATTAGCAAATATCATTCTCTTTCATCCAAAATGAGAAATTTTGTTAAAAAAAAAAAAAAAAAAAAGGAAAAAAACAGTTTGGGCGACCAAAGTTTGTTCCAATCCCCACATAGTTTTCTCCAAAAATAACCTAAAAACTAACAGAATCCCATGTTGACCGTTGTTTTCCAACGAACTTAACGACCCAACGATTTGGCGCCATTCGTACAAATGATAGCCATAATTTGTTCCTCCTTTTATTCACCTCCTCCGTTGTTCATTCTATCATCCCCACACCTCTCTGCTGTCCTTGAGAGTGCCCTTTTGGTTTGGCCATGGGGACCATCATCCACAATCTTTCTGCCATGGCCATTCTTGTGGGTTCCCTTCTTTTCTTTCAACCGTTCTTTCCCGGCGCTGTTCATGCCGCCGAATTAAATTACAAAGATGCCCTCACCAAATCTCTTATTTTTCTTGAGGCTCAACGTTCCGGCAAGCTCCCGCCCAATCACCGCCCCGCTTGGAGAGGCGACTCCGCCCTCGACGATGGAAAACTTGCCAATGTTAGATTCCTTTCCTTTTTTTTTTTTTTTTTTTTATTCTCTTTCCTCATCATTTATCAATAAGGGTGTATATAGATCCTTAGATTAAGGACTCGAGCAACTCAATATCGCGATGGTTAGGTTAAGGACTCGAGCAACCTGAGCAATCCAAATAGAGTTTTATGGGTGATCATATAGAACCCTTTGGGGCATTATTTTTGGTGGTTGCAGGTAGACCTAGTAGGAGGGTATTACGACGCCGGAGACAACGTGAAGTACGGACTTCCGATGGCTTTCACGGTAACAACTCTATCATGGGGAGCTTTGACTTACCCAACGGAGCTGGAAGCCGCCGGCGAAATGGAAAATGTTAAAGCCGCCATCAAATGGGGCACCGATTATTTCCTCAAGGCCTCTTCTCATCGCGATCGTTTATATGTCGAGGTAATTCAATCCTCAACAATCCTCAATATGATCCATCCGGTGTGAAAATTTTCTATTTATAATCATTTACATAATCAAATAAATTGGTGAAGGTCGGAGACCCAGTTAAGGATCATGAGTGCTGGGTTAGACCTGAAAATATGAAGACTCCAAGGACCGTATTGCAAATTGATTCCGAGACCCCAGGTACAGAAATTGCTGCCGAAACCTCCGCCGCCATGGCTTCATCTTCCATCGTCTTCCGAAGCTCCAATCAAACATATGCTCGTCTTCTTCTCAACAAAGCTAAAACGGTATAAACTTTTAACCACTTAAAAAGTCATTTCATTTCAAATATAACTCGGTTTCGTTTTGTTTTTATGTGCAGCTTTATAAATTCGCAAAATCCCACAAGGGAACTTACGATGGCGAGTGCCCTTTCTACTGCTCGTACTCCGGCTACAATGTAATTCTCACTATCTCTTGATTAGAGTTTTTTTTGTGTCGAGTTCATCGAATAATTTATGTGTTAGTACAGGACGAGTTGTTGTGGGCTGCAACATGGCTATACATTGCAACGAGAAAGTCGGTTTATTTGAAGTATGTTCTAGAAGAGTCGATTAGTGCTAGTGTAGCTGAATTCAGCTGGGATCTCAAATATGTTGGAGCTCAAGTTCTTCTTTCCAAGGTTTTAATAATTTTTTTTATATATTTTCATAAATTGATATTAAAATGATACTAAAATGCATATTATTTAGTTATATTTTGAAGGAGAGAAGGGTTTAGAGACGTTCAAAAATCAGGCAGATAACTATATTTGTTCTAATCTTCCGACCAGTCCTTACCACCAAATTTACGTGTCTCCAGGTCTTGTATTTCTGTCGGAATTTGTGTTCATATGATATGATATGATATTATTGAGTGAATTAAATGAAATAATTTTGATAGGTGGAATGGTTCACATGAGAGATGGAGCGAATACGCAATATGTTACGGGAACGGCGTTCGTGTTTAGTGCTTATAGTGATATCCTTGCAGCCTATAAACAAAACGTTAAATGTAGTGACCAGCAGTTCGACTCAACCCATCTTATGACCTTTGCTAAGAAACAGGTATGTAAATCTCTATAATGATATGATATGATATTGTCTACTTTTAATATAAGTTCTCGTGACACTAATGGAGATAGTGCCCTTTACTTATACTTATCTTCCCCGAACAAAATTGTGAATTCCCATATTGGTTGAGGATGAGAACGAAACATTATTTATAAGGGTGTGGAAAGATCTCCCTAGCCAATATGTGTAACTTAGTTCAGGTTAAGTATTTTGGTGTCCTAGGCGCAGAGGAACCGCACCAATCCATCATGAACTTGAATACTAATCTGGAAGAGGTAGACTTTTAACCTAGGACCTATGGACCAAGGGACAGTCTTAGGTAGACTTTTAACCTAGGACCTATGAACCAAGGGACAGTCTTAGGTAGACTTTTAACCGAGGACCTATGAACCAAGGGACAGTCTTAGGTAGACTTTTAACCGAGGACCTATGAACCAAGGGACAGTCTTAGGTAGACTTTTAACCCTAAAAACCCAAATAGAACTGGTTTCCTCGGGTATCTACACGACTCTAGTTCTACCACGAATTTTTCACTATGATCCTATATCATCTTGAATCTTAACTATGATCCTATCAATCATGATTACTACACGAACAATTTCATTATTACTACACGAACATTATTTAATTCATTTTTTAAAATTTTAATTTGTAGATGGATTACTTGTTGGGGGACAACCCACTGGGAAGATCGTTCATGGTAGGGTTTGGGAATAACCCACCAACGCAGGCGCACCACCGCGGCGCGTCGATGCCAGTGATGCCAGCGAACGCAGAAGTAAACTGCCCGATGAGTTTCGTGAACTGGCTGAACAAGGACACGCCGAACCCCAACGAGCTAACCGGCGCAATTCTGGGCGGCCCCGACCGCAACGACAAGTTCTTAGACAAGCGTACGGTGTCACCCATGACGGAGCCGGTGACTTACACCAACTCCATGGCCGTGGGAGTGCTGGCAAAGCTAGCGGCCCACAAAATCACATGAAAAACAAAACCTTATTTAATCCTTAGGCGGTTTTGAATCGCTTATTGTTAGAACAGTACAGAAGATGTTATTGGTGGTTACTAGAAAGGAGAGATTCTGAGATTTGGGGATTAAAATGTGTTAATTATTTTTATATTCATGTTTATAATATTTTCTAATTCTACCAACTTTGATTCAAGCAGAAATTAGATGTCTTTTCCAAGATTTTTGGATTCACATTTGCATATATTTATTATTAATTAATAAAAGGATTATGCTCGTTACCATTATTTAAGTTTACCTCATATTTGATATTTTATTATAAGCTGACTTTGAGAACTTTCGCACACAACAAGCTTGACTTAGAGAAATACTCGGTAAATAACTCCATTGTTGGAGTCGAGAAATGCAAATGCATGCAATATGATATGATCTATCCTTTTGAAAATAAGAGCAAGGTAGGATGTACCGTACTTCCCTACACATGTTCACACACATGCCCATTGACACACGACACACACATGCACATTGACACACTAGTTCGAGCAATCGACACTACATAACATCATAACAAACATAAATATCGAGAAAGTTTTTCATTTATATCAACTCAATCCAATCTCATTCAAATAAGTTCATAACCAAACTAATTATACGAACCATATTTGATTACTCGAATACCTTTACTATCAACTTGCGTAAGAATGTGTGGACAAGTTATATCATAATTTATTTGGTAAAAGACGAAAGAGCTTAGAGCACAACCAATGAGTATCAATCCTCAATGAATGGGTTAGGTTGCGTGCAATCAATAAACTCCTTTGACATTTAATGCCACAATCACCATATAATGTCTATCCAAAATCCTTTATCAATCATTCTTATTTCTTATGTCATCTTTCTTTACATACCCTCCACAAATATCTTGAAAAAGACGAGTTCAGATATTGTCTATTTTGACCAATTACGTATCGTTGTTAGTCTCACGATTTTAAAATGAATCGGTTTTAAGATTTTAAAATGCATCTACTAGAGAGAGATTTTCACACTTTTATAAGAAATGATTTGTTCTCCTCTCCAACCACCGATGCAGAATCTCACATTAAAGAACAAAATAAAATAAAATCATGCATGAGACTTTTGATCTTTCACGGCTCCAAAGCTAAGTGCTAAAAGAAAAGAAAAGAAAAACAATTATTTAACTTATTTTCTTTTTTCAATTAGGTGTATTTTATTGTTGAAGTATAATTAATTGATTTAAATTTGTAATTAATAATAATAAATTATAATTAATACTTTACTATACATAATTATTTTTATTTTTTATTAATAAATTATTATAATTGAATAAGATTTGTAAGTATACTACATTTAATTTTTGAAATATAAGTTTTGCTAAATATTTACAATTAAAATAAATAATTTTATTAAAATCATTTATTTGAAAATAATAATTAAAATTTATTATAAAATAAATTTAAAAATCTAAAATTTCAACGAAAATTAATTATCTAAAATTAAATAATGTAATAAAATTACTGAAAATACACTGTTTATCTGAAATTTTCAGGCAAACCAAACACAGTTATTTGATTATCAGACCTTTTATTTTTATATATTCATAAATAAACGCTTGAACGAAGAGGTCCTTTAAGGTTTAAGGTTCTGAATCATACGGTTCTTAAATATTTATTTTTAATACTATATATATTATAAATAAATAAATAAAAGTCGATGGTATTTTTATTAATTTAATTTAATTTTAATATTAACAAGATAATTTTATTTTAAAATATCTTTGAAGATTCAAAGGATCATAGACAGATAATTGGATTCCATAACCCTCGGAGGAATCTTTGCCTATTCGACAATACCGAAGGTGGGGCCCACCCTGTCAACTTGAAACCTTCTGAAAATAACCTCCTGAATTATCTATACACGTGTGCGGTTATTATTCGACGTTACCTGAAGCTCATCAGGGGCAGTTAAGTCGTTTCGCATAACGCACTAGCGAATTTACATTTATACCCCTCATATTTCGCTACGTCATTACGTTCATTTCTTTATATTTGTTTATAAAGAAATTTTTGTGATCATCATTCATACCAAGCGTATAGCCCAAGTTTTCCGCAAATCATGGCTAAAATCTCCACCGGAGCTTTGCTCCTTTTCTTTTTCCTCGCCGTAATCGGCTTGGCTTCCGGTGGCCGGGATCTTCCTGGAGATTTTCTGAGGTTGCCGTCCGAGGCCTTGAATTTTTTTCGCGGAGGAGCCTCCGATGCTAGCGACGAGGACTCCGTGGGAACGAGATGGGCCGTTTTGATCGCCGGTTCGAATGGATACTGGAATTACCGGCATCAGGTTATTTTTGTTACATTGATAAGTTGCATTAATTTGGATTGTTTTTCTTTCTTTGAGAGTACAAATTTGTGTTGCGTTTTGTGTTTGTTTAGATGTTGACCTTTGTTGTTGATTGGCGTTTTCTTCAGCCTATTTCATACTTTTTTTTCCCCTAATGTCCTCTGTGCTATCTCTGTTGCCGATCCTTGTCTGATTTTTTTTTTTTTTTTAATAACTTCTTCGATTTTTAAGCTCGAAGCTTGTAATCAGTTTTTTCTTTGACGTTTCTTAGCATGAGATCGAATAATTTCCCCTCTAAACTTAGGTCTATATTCTTTTCGTGTTTGTTTTTCGTCGTTGACCTTTTGGATTGATGAATTTTCGGTTTTTCGAATATTATTGTAGCAGTTTTTCTGTTTTGTTTTTCCTGTTTTTGGCTTTCTTTTCCATATCATACGTAGTTTTTTGTATTCAGAAGTCCATTTTTAATCAATGTTTCTTTCTGTGTTAATCGTTAAATTAGAGCTGAAATTCTCAAAGAACATGGTTTTTTCAATACCCTGCCATTTGACGTTTCCTATCAGTTGTGAGCGATATATATTTTGGATGTTGGTGTCAGGATAACCACTTAATCGAGCCTATTGCTGTTTTCAAATGAACTTTCCTTCTTTTGAATTGTTATGTTGAACCAGTTACTGAGCGTTTAAGTCCAATCAGAAAATTTTCTTTTAAGGAATTTGCAACTTCTGGTGGATAAGATGACCTATAAACGCTACCAGTAACTGAACTTACTATTGAAAAGAAAGAGGAGTGATATAATTTAGATTTAATATAAATTTGTTAAACAGAAACTTAGTATATTTTGGGCGCGGGCCAATGAAGTCTAGATGCTCTAAGCCAGCAAGAAAAAAAGAAGGAACGGGGGAAAAGGATTACATCCGTGTACCCCTGCTGGTAGTAAACTCGTTTTTTTTCATTCAAGATCAGTATAAACGGGACAATAGAATTTTGGTGAATGTTGTTGATGGTTTAATTACTTGGAAAGATTCAGACAATGATTAACACATTTTCCACCAGGCTGATATTTGCCATGCTTATCAACTATTGCGGAAAAATGGGCTAAAAGATGAAAACATCATTGTTTTCATGTACGATGACATTGCCTTCAATCCGGAGAACCCAAGACCTGGGGTCATCATCAACCATCCACAGGGTTCTGATGTTTATCATGGAGTCCCAAAGGTTTTCTTATTGCTTTATAGATTCCAAATTTACACCTGATTCATTTGATTAGAGCTTCTTATGTACCTAAGATTTTGTTCACTGCAGGATTACACTGGTGAGGATGTTAACGTGAATAACTTTTTTGCTGTCATTCTTGGAAACAGAATTGCTCTTACGGGGGGTAGTGGGAAGGTTGTTGACAGTGGTCCTAATGATCATATTTTCATATACTACAGTGATCATGGTGGCCCTGGTGTTCTTGGTGAGTAGCTTACTTCTATGTAGCTCGCATACCATGTAATGACCTATCATGTTTATCCGGCAATCATTTTTTTTGGATACATTTGTTGTTTGATATGCTTGATTTGTCTGTAAGCAATAGAATGATTGGTTTACTTCTCTATATTTCATTATCGAGGCAGGGAGCCTACATTCAAGCTTTTGTATGCTTTGATTTGAGGTGATAGCACATCTCACTTCATCTAGGAAATGCTGTTTCTTTTTTGCATATCACACACGGGTAAAAAAAAAAAAAAAAAAAAAA